GGAGACAACATACTGCACCAATTTTCATTTCAGGGAAACTGGTGAGCAGATACGTTAAAGTTTTAGGTTACCGCATCAGCAGTAACCCTACCATTATCCACACAGTACATGACCTCCACCAGGATGATGAAGGCCCGGGACAGTAGCTCTTGGATTCGTTTTGGCATTGACTGGGCCTGGGAACGCCCGACATCAGCCCTGCTGCACAGTTCTCTGGGTACCGATATGGCATATAGACCCTGACAGGCAGGGAGCTCGAGATGGGAGTGAATAGGACAGTCACCTGTGACGTAGTGTCCTGACTAACCTGGATTTCCAGTCTCTCTCAACCTTGTTCAGTTAAGAGATGAGAATATGGAACTGAGTGTGAAAGGCCCAGCTGTGATTCATGCTGGCAGCCAGTCTGCAGTCTCCTGAGCCAGAGCGCCAGAGCTCCTCGTCTGTTTCTGGAAATGTGTGTCCATCTCCCCAGGAGCAGAGGTCCCAGAACCCCAGGCTGAGTGTCAGGGCCTTTGGAGAGAGGGGGCAACCTGGACTTAAGGTCTGTGAACAGCTGGCAGGCCGTGCGGTAGCCTAGGTGCAGTAGCAGTCAGCAGTTCTCAGACACCAGATGACCTCTGACCAAAAGGGGAAGGACAGATCCTGACTAATTTCTCCATAGGTATGATTTGCCTTAGTTTGGGTTCCTCAGAATTAGATCAAATTTGAGCTTTCCAGAAGGAACTGAGAAATGGGGAGAGGTCAGCAGGAGGAAAGGTGGGGCACAGCCAGAGTTCTGCTGGGCTAGGAACCAGACCCTCCCTGCTCTGAGTTGCTCCCAGGCTTGCTTCTCACAGCAGACAGTGCCCCGCAACAAGGCAAACAGGCCCTCGATAAGCTCCCCACAGTTCCCTCCATGCCCTTTCACTAGGCTATGCCTTGCAGTTCTCTTCTAGCCATCAAGCTGCTTTACTGTTAGGTCTTTGTTCATGCGGATCTGTCCGGAATGACTCCTTCTTTGCCCTTTCCAGCCTTTCCACCTTTAAATTACACCTCAGTCATCACCAAGGCTTGGGGAGCCTTCCTGGGTAATTCCTCCCGGCCCTAACTCCAGCTGGGTGTGGCCTATGGGTCCCATAGTGTCAGGTATTTTCTCCCATCTTTGCATTGATAACTGTGGACTCCAAGCACATGCTTCCCACCCATCTTTAGAACTCCAGAGCCCACTTCTAGGCCTGACAAGGAATAGGATGTTAATTTTTGTTAAATTGAAGAGCCCTCCCACAACCTCAGTAGTCCAGGGCTTTTGAAACTGAGAGGAAATCAGTAACCTCTTCCTGCCTTCCTAGTGCATATGGCTTCAGCCTTTCCACTAGGTTTACACATGCCTCCATCTTCCCACTGATACTTCTATCCCCTTAGTACTACCCACCTTCCCTTCACCCTGCTAAGTCAATTTAGGGCCAAGGCTGCCCTCCCCGGCGAGAAAGAGCCCATCCAAACCTGAAATCTCCACTGAGATTTTGTCACTCAAGGGAGAGGTGGGAGGTAGTATAGTGAAGTACAGAGCATGAGCTCTGCTGTCAGACAGACCTGAGTTCAAATACCATCCCATTTACTAGCTGTAGGACCTTAGTTTCTTCACTTCTCTGAGCCTGTTTGTCCATGTGTAAAAGATGGAGACTAATTTCTACATAGGATTTGCCTTAATTTGGGTTCCCCAGAATTAGATCAAATTTGAGTGTAAATAGTTTAATTGGAAAGCGATCCAGGCCAGGGCTGGGATTAGAATGATGCATGTGAGGTGCCCTGCTACAAAATGTAAAAAGGCCCTCAAAGTTCACGGACGTGTCAACCCCGCCCTTACATGCACCCAAGAGTGAGTACCCCTCACCCTGGTCCCAGCCCTGATCCAGTAAGCACTGAAAGGGGAGTGAGCAGTGAGGTAGGAAGGGAAGGAAGCCAATGAGAGTATGTAATCAAGTTGCTGCTGAGAGCTAAGCCCTATAGAACTGTTTAAAATGAACCCACCTGAGAGGTGAGGAAGCTATGGTATTTATCCTCCAACTTCCATCTTTCACTGGCTGAGGGCTGCTTACGTGTCACAACCTCAATAGTCCAGGGCCTTTGAAACTGAGAGGGAATCAGAGCCTGTGCCACACAAGCCTAGAGAAGTGCTACGGCAGAGTCACAGGTTCTTGCAATAGGACCATGTGGGTATGTGCTAGAATGGAGAGTACCCAGGAGAAACGGGTAAGGCACTGATTCTGTTAAGAACAGTGGTTCTCAACCTTCTGCCCTTTAACTACAGTTCCTCATGTTGTGACCCAACCATAAAATTATTTTCATTGCTACTTCATAACTGTAATGTTGCTACTGTTATGAATCATCATGTAAATATCTTATATGCAGGATGGTCTTAGGCGACCCCTGTGAAAGAGTCGTTCGACCACCAAAGGGGTCGCGACCCACAGGTTGAGAACCGCTGTGCTAGAGGGCTAGTGGAAGGATGAAAGGGAAAAATCATAAAGCCTAACACAGAGAAGTCCCCTTTTCTTTCCCAGTTTATGGCAACCACTTGTGAAGTTCATGGAGCTTCCTAGATCTCCATGAGTCCACAACACATGCAGTCCAGGGCCTTCCCATCTTGGAAGAAGCAAAAAGCCCACCAAGACCCCAAGGAGAGCTCTAATTGCCCAGGGTTCAAAGGTGCTATGGAAGGGTGGCGGTTGATGGAGCTAAGGTGGAGGGCTTGCTCCTCTAAGAACTGTGTCTTCCTGCATCTGCACCCCACCTCTCTCTCTGGCTTTTCCACCTCACACTGTAACATTACTTATGACATACAAAATTAGCACCTTGTTTAATAGCAACTACTGTCACTTCCTCACCATCCTCTATGTGATTGATACTATGCCTTAATACACATTATCTTAACTCTGAGAACCCTGTAAGATATTTTTTCCCCGTTTTATGGACAAGGAAACTAGATCTCAGAGAGGTTAACTTTTATCAGAAGCAGGGGTTCAGACTCAGGTTGATGTGATACTCTCCAATGACTATCTCTTCACTGTCTCAACAATGCCCTCCCGCAGGACCACTGGAGTAATAAGACAAATCAGCAGCCTGTACCAAAAACAGTGGGAGGTGGGGAGGGGACACTGGGGAGTTGCTGTTTCCCCTTGACTCCCCACTGGCTAACAAAAAGCCTATTGTTCCTGGTCCTGCTTATTCCACACCCGCCTCCAATAATTTGCCACTGACCCATGTTCTAGTAGATTGCTCAATTTTAAGCTAAATAATTCACTTTGTAGAATCAGCCTTTCTCTTTTCTTATCTTTAGGCAAGAGATAACATACTATCCCCTATTTATAGAACTCTACCTCCAATAAATTTCTATTTAATGAGAAGACTAGTGAGAGTTAAGCTAATGGGACATAATTGATAAACTAATTTTCATTAGAAGGCAAACAGGAAAATAATACTAGAATCAAAATATGACATTTTCTTTAGGAGTGAAGAGGAGGGGCACTGTAGTGTCACTGCTATGGACCAAAAGTGGCTTTATTTGTTCTCAGCCTTTGTTTCCTCATTTGAAAATTGGGAAGGATAGTATTACCTCACAGGATTGCTGTGAGGATTAAATGAAGGCACATACATTGCCTGAACCATAGTAGTTGCTCAAAAAATAACTGCTATTATGTGATGCTGGCCTCAACATCAGGGCACCAAGACATGGAAGGAATAGAGAGTGAACCTACCATCCTGCCTTCTAACTGAAAGATCTTGCATGCAAGGCACCCAGACAGGAAACAGTGCCTTCCCTAAAGGCCTGTGCTGGCCTTCCATCCTAGCTATCTCTCAACTCCCCAGTCTAACACACACCTCATTTTCATTTTAAATAAAGGAAAAGGTAACTTTGGACTTGATAAATCAGAAGTTAGAAAAGTCTGTGTCCCTGTTCGTCCTGTCCTAGGATCCTTTCCTGCTCAGCAACCATCTCCCACAGTCTTTCATTACATCTTCAATTCTGTTTGGGCCAAAGCTAGCTTTTCTAACATCTTCCTCAGGTAGTTGCTTCTACCATCCAACACGCTCCACAACAGCCTATGCACTGAGAACAGACCACACCTCTGTTCTGCTCTGAAAGCTCCTGGGCAATGTGACTGAGAACGTGTACTTTCTACTAATGTACTTAAAACAGAACCTATTTCCTGTTACTTCTATGACCTCTGACAGTGGTTTTAACAAATGCATATCCACTGGTTAATCTACAAAGGAAAATTATTGCATAGGAAGTAACTAAAAATAGTGTTCACTTACAAATTCCTGGGAAGAATGGCAGGAGAGATCTCTCAAAGGTCCTATGCTGTGGGAGTTCTCTTTTTTTAATTCTCACTCAGGAATATATTTAGAGAGAGGAAGAGAGAGAGAGAGACATCGATGTGACAGAGAAACATCAACTGTTTGCCTAACCATCCATGCCCCCAACTGGGGATCAAACTTGCAACCTAGGTATGTACCCTGACTGGGAATCAAATTTGCAACCTTTTGGTGCACGGGGGTGACGCTCCAACCGAGCCACCCAGCCAGGGCTGGCTGAGAATTCTTAACTGGTGAGGCAATGAGATGAAGTAACAGGTCATTGAATGATAGGGATAGCAGAATAAGGAGTAGGATTCAATGAACTGGCACCTTGCAGAATGATGTCAGAAAAGGTCAAGGAGCCAGTGTGGCTCAATGGTTGAGCATCGAGCTATGAACCAGGACGTCACAGTTTGATCCCCGATCAGGGCACATGCCTGGGTTTTGGGCTCCGTTCCCAGTGGGGAACATGCAGGAGGCAGCCGATCAATGATTCTCTCTCATCACTGATGTCTCTCGGTCTCTGCCTCTCCCTTTCTCTCTCCCTTCTGCTCTGAAATCAATAAAAATAGATTAAAAAGAAAAGGTCAAGGGGATAATCACACAGTGTTCTGGAACTGCACACTATACATTCAGTGAATATAGGTAGGATATCAAAGACTAGTAAAATATTTCATTCAGAAACATGTAATTTATGAGTCTGAGAACAAGCCCCACAATTAAAATATCTGTACCCAAAACCTTATAACACAGAGAGGGGAAAGGAAGATCTCCCTCTCATTGAAATAAGATGTCATACAAACATATATAAATATATTTAAATTTTCTTTTAACTATAAGTGAATTCAAACAGGCTGTTATAAAACCAAACACTATGTACAATTTGTCTGTATAGATCATAGAAAACACAAAAACCAGAATGCTGAGTGGGTGCTCGTGGTGGAAAATGCCCATCAAAACTTGCTCAACAATGAACTGGGAGCCATTAAAGCTTAATGACCATGGTCCATCCTTATTGCTAATGGTTTTGTCAACCTTCGGACCCTAGAAATTCAGGATTTTCTCCTCCTTCCTCTGCCTGCTTTGGACCGTGTCCGGCTACCTGGCCGGACAGTAAACTGCTTTTTAAAGTCCACTAAGCAATCTGTGGCTTCTGAAATGGAAACAAAAGACTTGATGGGAGACTCATTTAAGTCAAGATGTGCAAGGGAACTCTGCATCTCTCTGCTGCAGCCTGCCTCTTCCATCCCTGGTGAGGGTACCCTAGAGAGAAAGGAAAAATTTCAGAATTCAGTATCACCTACTAATAAGCACTAAGCATGCATCATGCATTGTAGCAGGGGTTTTTACATATATTATTAATTCACATAATTTTTGTAATCATCCAACCAAATAAGTAATATCATTCCCCTTTTACAGATGAGGACATTGGGTAAATCATATACCTTTAAAGCCACACAGTTATGCAGTGAGAGAATGAGGATTCAGATTCAAATTCCCAAGCTGCTTGAAATCCAAGTCAGAAGAGCAGGATTGAGTGGAGATAGAGAGGTAGAGAGGAGTAAGAAATAGCTTTTGCTCTGTTTGTTTTAACACCATTAGTGAACTGAGCTACTATTCCATTCTTAGCCAAGATATAGGGGGTCACAGAGGCAGAGAGAGAGAGATCTACAGTGATTTCTACCTTCTACATTTTGACTATCACACTATACACAGAACTCAGGACTAGGCCTCTACTTCTCTAGAACTGCTGACAGCTGCACTTCAATGCACACCCCAATTCACCTGAAGGCCACTGTTTCTGAAGACCTGGTCTTTATCTCTGCATCTGTGATAGGAGAGAAAAAGCAATAATGTTGTTAGTGTTGTAGTCATAGCACTTCTCATTGATCATGTGCTTCTTGTATTCTGGGCACTGCTTTTCATCAGGCTTATCCATGTGGCTACAGACTAATCCCCAGTCCCCAGTCTAATGGAATGTGAGCTTTAGGATCCAACACTCAGCTGCAGAAGTACTGAGGTGAACACTTTTAAATGAACAACCTCTGAATAAATCTACTTCAAATCTGGACTTGAGGAACTAGGAGTTGCCAAGGGAAATCTGCCTCCTACAGAGAATCACAACCTGCTGATCTGGAGACAGCAGGACATGGAACTCAGAGAGGCTGCCTTTTTTAGAGTCATCAGAAAGGCTTAAGCAACAGTTCCTCTTCCATCTGCATCTGGTGAATTTTAACAACAGCAACTAATAACAACCACAGTAATGATAGCAGCTAACATTTATCCGGGGCCTACTTATGCCAGGGAATATGTTTGGAGTTTTACATAATCCTTACAATCTGTTGGTATTACTAACTCTGCAATGCTTGTAACCAATCTACTCTACTGAACCCTAAATACTAGGCACCAAGAGACAGAATTACTTCCTACAATCTCTCAGGAGCATAGGTTGGAACACTAAGCTAAAGGTAACATATGAATGGAGCATATACTGGTACATTAGAAGGAGGCAGTAACATCGGTATGTCTGATTTCCCATGCCTGTCCCTTTAACAGGAGTGGGGAATGTCCAGCCTATGGGTCATATCATTTGGTCTGGCTCTGCCAAGGCAACCACAGGTAGGACTCGAAATTCAATAACTCTAGGCACTTTTTCCATAGTAACATAATTTTTAAGTTGATAATTTTGTATGGCCAGTGAATGATGTTGTAAATAGCCAAATGGTCCTTGGCAGAAAAAAAGGTTCCCCACCTCTGTTTTAGAAGGTACTTGGGGCTTGTGTCATTGCCCTGTCATCTGGAAATGTTTTTTCCCAGTTCAACAGACAGTCCTGGAAGTTTAGGCTTCATAAAACATGAAATGAAATGCATGATGAATAAGACAGGCTATCTCCCGATCTTTCTTAGGGAGAGATGACCTAGACCGAGTCTCAAAGGCTTGCTACTTAGGTGAAATGTGTACCCACACAACTCTAACAAATAGGGAGTTGGCAGTGGTTCTTTTCACTAGAAGGCCTTGGCCAAAAGCCCAGAAAACTGGTCCCGGGGTCCTCACCTGCAGTCTTGTGCTCAGATTGCTCCAAGAGACTGAGGAGTCGGCCTTCACTCCGGCCTTTTTCCTGTGGCAGAGATAAATAGATGAAAGGGAAGGGTTACCTCATAGCAGAGAATCTAAAATACAACTTCCTTAGCCCAGATCACACCTGTCTCCTAAGGAAAGTGGTGTGGAGGTGCACCTCTAAGAAAGTCTTTTGCTTTCTAATAAATGAGGGTACACAAGTTAAAAAGCAAACCGTGATGAAGAGAATACATCTTTATGCCAATATTATCTAAGAATGAATTCGAGCGAAGGCAAATTATTCCACCAAGATCATATTAAACACAAGTACCCTTTGACCTATGATAGATTTCGAGAGATTTAAAACAGAAAATGACAATTTTTAGGTAAATTCTAGGGGCAGTGATAAGAATAAATTGGCTCTATGGTATAAGCACATACCTATAAAACCCAACTCCAAATCACCACCACAAACCACCCCATTCATACAGGGGTTGCTTTCTTCTGTCATGATGGATAATGGCTTCTTCATCTTAGCATACAGTGATTGCTATGTAAGCCTATAACATGGAGCTGCTGTTTTATCTTTCTCTCTAAGCCAAGACTTGCTCTTTCTAATCTTTAATCACAAAGCCCAGAAAGCACATCCATCTTCCCAGCAACCAGAGGCCAGAGCCACACCTCCCTAGGGCCAGGCACACACAGCGAAGAGAGCTGATCTCACATATCAGCAGTGGGGGGATGATTGGATAACCTTTCTGGAAAGCAATTTGACAGTATGTTTCACGAGATTTTTAAATGTTTATGTGCATTGCTCTAAGAATTCCACTTCAGGAGATCTATTTTAAGAAAATAACCAGTGGTACAATGACTAATTAATGTTTTAAACAGTCTTCCAATACAGAAGAACTGGAAAGAATCTGAATGTTCAATAATGAAAATGATTACTAGTAAGTGACTGTGTGATACAAATATTAAGAGTAATTTTTAAAAACAGTTTAAAAATAAACCAAAAAAGGTGTTTATGCTACAATGTTAAGTGTACACACACACACACAGTATGGTACCAACTACATTAAAAATGCATAGAAAAAAAGACTGGAAAAATTATAGTTGATAATGTCCCCTGATTCCTCATACTTTTTAAATTAATTTTAATATTTTTATTATAGTATACATTCAGTATCTTCATACTTATAAAAAACTACTTCCCGTATTTCCTACAATGAACACATATTATTTTTAATTAAAAGAAAAAAATTTTTTAAAGCACAAATCTTGTTTCAAGAAAAACAGAAGAAAAGGAGGGAGAAAAAGAGGAGAAAAAACCCAGAACAGAACTGTGGAAGGTTTGGTAGCCTTTCCTGTTAAAACACTCCACATACCTTTGAGTTCCTCAGCCACTGCCACTGCTTCCCCTCCTCAGCTGAGTATACTCTCACACTTTCTGTAGGCTCATCTCCTTGGTCATCCCTTGCAAGCTGGAGACAGGACTCTACATGACTTTGGTACTCTTTAAATGGGACCAGGGATTTACATAGATAACACTTCTCATGCCTAGCCAATCAGAAGAAAGAGAGAAAAAGCAGTTTTAAGGTCTGCTTTTGCCACTGGGCTCCTGGATATGTCTCAAATCATGTTTTTATGTCTCAAAGTTATTCTGTGGAGAAGACATGTCAACCAATGCAGATTTGCTCAGCAGGGCCTCCAATAAAACTAACCCAATGACAATCAAAAGGACTGAGTGATTAGTGGTTTTCCCTAGCTGTTTCTCTGTACCCTGCTGTTGCAGCCGTGGGATGGTAATAAAATCAGCACTTCTAACTATCTCAATGTTGATTGCTCTTCAGACATAAAATATTCTGTCAAACTCTTCTGAAATTAAGTGTAATCGGTTTTTTTCAAAGGGAAGTAAAACTTTAGACAGAAATTTGAGCACACAGAGCATTAAACCAAGATGACAACTTTACCAGGGTAGATGAACTTGTCTGACTAGTAAATCAAGTCTGTCCATATGCTGACTTCCTTAATTCTATAACCTGCAGCATCAACTAGGAAGTTACCAAAACCATGTGGTTACGCCAAAGGCTTCTGCATAATTTCATACACAGTTATTTTTATCATTTTGTAACAGTTGAGTTTGTGGAAAGAGATGAAATTGTATCCTTGAGTAAGGCTAATTTGACATTGGTAAAAATGGAATCACTGAGAACAAAGGAAGAAAATGAACAATTATTAAGTATTTAATAATGGTAGAAGGTGCTTTAAACACAATTTCTCAATCTCCAGCCCTAAGAAGGTACTTTTCTCCCCAAGGTTGTATAGCTAATAATTGTCAGAAGCCAGCTCTGCCTGACTCAAGATCATCTCAGTTTTAAGAAGCTAAGGAAAACTTTTCAAAGTTTGCTATCTTAGACTTCTCTTTCTGGCCGTTACAACTCAATTACTATAGCCAGGGAAATTTGGATTGGTTCTTTTTTTTTTTTTTAAATATATTTTATTGATTTTTCACAGAGAGGAAGGGAGAGGGATAGAGAGTTAGAAACATCGATGAGAGAGAAACATCGATCAGCTGCCTCCTGCACACCCCCCACTGGGGATGTGCCTGCAACCAAGGTACATGCCCTTGACCAGAATCGAACCTGGGACCTTTCAGTCCGCAGGCCGACGCTCTATCCACTGAGCCAAACCGGTTGGGGCTAGATTGGTTCTAAGGAAGAATTTCTCTAGAGGTTTTTAAAATAGAAGAAATAAGTCTCAAGTATTTAATCATCTCAGAGAATGCAAGTAAAACTCTTCCTTATGAGAAAAGCAGACCAGTGTACCTTACACAGTTTATCAGGTAATGCAAAAGGCATTTATTAATCTCCTACTATGTGAAAGATGGCATCACTGAGGAAGGAGCATGTCAAGTAGGCTTTGTCAGTTCTGCCCTCATGATCACAACCAGTTACTTACAATTTCTCTTCAGTCTCTTTATTAAAAAAAGAAAAAAGGATAACTGCCTTAAAAGCTATTGTAAGAGTTATATAGTAAATAAAGCACCTAGCACAATGACTGGTACACAGTATTAGGTTCTCAACAAATAGGTTTTATTGTTGTTGCTGTCTCAGACAAATTTTATTAGATGCTGAAGAATAGAGTATGAATGAAGACAAGCATCTGCCTTCAGATAACTAACAGCCTAGCCAGGGAAACAGAAATGTCAAAAATGAACAAAAGGAAATTACTGCAATACACTGTGATGAAGACAGTCCTAGAAGAATGTCCACATGACAGTGATTCCAAAAGGAGCAAGGGATGAACTCTGCTCAACTGGATTAGGGAAGGAAACTCTAAAATGTAGGGTCCAAATCTGTGTTTCTAAGGTAAACGTTTCTGCCTAATGACTAACTGCTCTAATGTACTTTGGTAATATCTTTCTGTTGGGAGAAAGCACTCAAACCCAACCCCTTAAAATGTGCTTTCTCATGCCGAAGCCGGTTTGGCTCAGTGGATAGAGCATCGGCCTGCGGACTGAAGGGTCCTGGGTTCGATTCCGGTCAAGGGCATGTGCCTTGGTTGCGGGCACATCCCCAGTGGGAGATGTGCAGAAGGCAGCTGATCAATGTTTCTGACTCTCTATCTCCCTCCCTTCCTCTCTGTAAAAAATCAATAAAATATATTTTTTTAAAAAATGTGCTTTCTTGTCAAGTTGCAACCCATAACCCAAGGAAGTCTTCTATATTGCCCAACCTTTTGCAACTCAACTTCTGTTATCATTATATCACAAAATAGCTCACTGCTTCCCCAAAACACCAAGATGCAAATTCAAAGAAAAAAATTAATTTTAAAATTAGTTTAATGAAGCCAAAACGGTGGGGGGTTAACTGTACAGAACAAACGATTACACAGACACACACACATTTTAAGTTATAAGGAATAAAGTTTATTTTGGCAGATGTTAAAATTAAAGTTGCAGACATTAGTAACATAACTCAACATCCTTAATTTGGTATAAGTGTGACACATTTTCTTGCTTTCTTCTATTCTACTAAATCACCATACCTAAACTGTTTTATAAAACTAATATATTGAAATTTAGCTTTACTGTTTTCACTTATGCTCTGATTCTAAAGTAAGAGCAATGTGGAAGTGGAGTGGGTAGCAGGATTTTTTTAGGGTAATAAAAAGGGATATACAGAGGCCACATACACTGACATAAAATGGGAATAATAAAAAAAAATTCAGGCATCCAAGCAACAAAGTGATTGGCAGGCCAAAGAAACCCAGGGTAAGAGAAAAACTGGTCTTTTTATGTGACCTAAAAACAGCATACATACTTACTTCTCAATGTCCAGGGAAGTCTGGGCCACTATCTCACAGTCCCTCTTGCTCTGGGCCTCTATTTGTCTGCAAGTCAACACTTTCAACAAAAAATGAAGAAAAACTATCAGTTAGCCGTAGACTCTGAATATAAAAGATAAAATGTGTACGAAGAAGCAAAGTTTAAAATCCTACTCCACTGGGAGACATGCACTGTCTAAGAAACTTCTTTTTAGTACAGAGAATAATACCTGTAACATATGTACTGAAACTGCCAACTACAAGATATGTCTGTATTTGCTAATGAGATCTATTTATCCCTTATTTGCCATGAGACCTAAAAACCTAGTTCACACCAAAACAGGTTTTTGTGTACTTCCCAACCTGCAGTATCTGAGGGAGAGATTTATACTTTTTCAACCAAAATTCTCACTGGCTTAAATTGAACTTATGGCAATTAAGGTCCATCCCCTACCCTCCCCAATCATCTTCAAATAAAATGTTATCAAGACCAATCTCCTAACTCTATACTTGGGTAACTACGCTGTTGTGTATTCCCACTCCCCCCGCCCCGCACCCGTCTAAACACAGAACTTTACATTTGTCCCTGTTTGTTTGTTTTTTCTTTTTTTGGTAATAGCTTACTGATTTTTAGTGAGAGAGGAAAGGAGAGGGAGAAAGAGAAACATCAAAAATGTGAGAGTATATGGAACATTTATGGGCAGTCTCCTGAATGCCCCCTAACTGGGCATGTGCCCTTAACCAGGAATTGAACCGGCAACCTTCTGGTGCACGGGACAATGCCTGAACAACTGAGCCACACCAGCCAGGAATGTCTCTGTTCTTTTCAGGTGAACATTGCAGTCTGCCAAGTTCATCTGCAATATTGATTCTGTCATCTAATGTTATTAGCTCTCTTTTCCAGTTTTGTGTCATCTGCATATATGAAAGCATCTACATCCATATTTACAGAGAATCTTCAATATGTGAGTAATTTGGGGAGATATAAGAAATTATGAGATGGGGTTCTTGCCCTAGGGAGCTTACAATGTATTAAGGGAGACAACATATACACTCAAATAACTATAACACCAGGTATAAAGAGATATGAATAAAACAAGATGATACACACAAGTAACTATTAATAGTGTTTGTCTCTGGGAAGGATGACAGTGACACTTGAGCACTGAATTAGGGAGATGGTATTTTTTTTTACCATATACTTTTTGTACTGTTGAATTAAAAATTAAAAGGGAGAAAAAGAGAGCAGAGTACAGAGAAAGTAGGTAATCTATTTCTAAGGTTCCTTCCAACCCAGAGATTTTATAAGTAAAAGTAAAGTACTGCAGGAGAAAAATATCCTGGACATAGTTGTATAGCCTTCAGATCCTCCTCCTACTCTATCAGCCAGCCCACATTTCTCCATCTTATACACAAGGACTTCATGAGAGATTTTATCAAGGGCACTGCTAAAATCAGTTCTTAAAAGGTTGGCACCTCACAGATTACAGAAACTTTTAAGGGTTGTTTTTTCTCTCTCTCTTTCCATTTGTTCCCACATCTTGACTACCAAGTATTTTTTCTAAAAGAAATACTTGGAAACCACTCCACAGACAGGGCTGGAAAACAAATTAATTGCTTCTAGCACTTTATAGATACCACTACTGCACTTAACACATTTCCGTTGTTATTTGTTTGTATGTCAGTCTCCTTTCTACATCATGCAACTTTCTGAATTTAGAGATTCTGAGTTTTGTTTTGATCTCTTCAGCATCCTCAGCAAAATCTAGCACATATTAGACACTAATAAATATTTGCCAATTAAATCATAGCAATGGATTCAAGGGGGGGGGGGGGGGGAGAGCTCTTGTTTTTGAGGACCTGCTTTGTACCAGAGACTTTATAAAACTAATCTCAATCCTTAGAACAAAATCCTACAAGGCATATGTCATTATCTGTATTTTATAGATGATGAAATATTAAATACCTGATCAAGATCACAAAGCCAAAACAACAAACCCCAATACAAGTCTGACTTAAAAGAAGGCTATGTTCCTCTATAAGAGCAGGCTGCCCCTCCTGGGAAATACAAGGGTAAAGGACGAGAGGAAAAGTGGTAAGTGGTGAGTGAGCAGGTAAAGAACCTGAGGGGAGACTTGGCAGATTGCTGGGAGCCACATGCTAATTCTATTATTTAATGTTAGGATAAGGACGGACCAGTGTAAATTGACAAAGGAACGGAAAAGTTGCTCTTAAAGGAGCTTCCAACTCCAGTTTATAAGGGTTGGGACAGTCACTTCAACTAGTAGCAGGCGGACAATTCAATATGAAAGTGAAATCCAAAACCCTTGCTGCTGATGACAACAGCCAAAGATTTCAAAAGGGAACAATGGAGTCTGAGAACAGCTACCAGAAAAACCACCACCAGGCCAGGTAAGCAAAATGGAGGAGAGGAAGGATGTCACTAAGACCTGAGAGATGGAGGAACCAAGATGGCGGCATAGGTTAACGCCAGACACTCAGAGGAGGCGCAGTGCTGAAGTCAAATTCTGAGGTGTGGAGTGCGTGGAGCGGGCTGGCGGCGGAGGGCACAGTTGTTGTTTTCAATCGGGAGGGAGTCGCAGACTCTGAGCTCCAGATCCGGGCGAGTCTTTAGGGGCACAGACTCAAACGGGAGAAGCGGGACTGTCTGGCTTCGGTGAGAGCGAGTGCAGCTTTCTCTCCCAGGTTTGCAGCGGTTGCTGGGACTCC